GCCCCGGAGTCCCCCCTCCCCGCACAGGCCGCAGCCGCCCCTGACACTGGCACCGACACAACCGCGACACCGACACAACCGCGACACCGACACCAACCCCGCTCCCGTCACCGACCCCACTCCCGTCGCCGCCGCGTGCCCGCGCCGCCTTCCCGGCGTGCCTTGCGCGGGGCACGAGACTTCCGCTTCCGCTCGCCCGCGCCGCCATCTTGGGAGTGGCGAGCCGCCTCCGCCGTTGCCGGACGGGCCGCCGCCGGGAGAAGGAGAGATAAGATATTTATTCCTCCCCCGGAGGCGGGTTTGCGGCCCGTTTCAGCGCCTCTGGCGCTCCGCGATACGAAAAAAATCACTTTTGACCGTACCAAGAGGGCGGCACGGCGGCGCCCAGAGGAAACCGCCTCCGCGCATGCGTGCTCCGCGTGATCGGCGCCGCCCGGCGCGTGCGCCTCACCCTGCGCAGGCTCTTCGGCGCCTGCTGGGGAGCGGAAGTGACGCCATCACGCCCGGCGCGCGGAGGGGCGGGCGGCGGAAGGAGGGAGGCGGCCATCTTTAGTGCCGGCAGGAGCGGCGCCGGGGTCCCGATGCCGGCGGAGAAGATGGCGGTGGACGGGCCCGAGCAGGTACGGCCGGGCCGGAGCGGGGGAGGGGTGTCGCCGTCTGGCCGCGGGGTGCTCGGGTGGCGCCGTGCTGCTGCGGGGGCTCTGTTAGGCTCGGATCTGGTCGGGGCCTGGCGGGCGCCGTGACTCGGCGGGTCTTGCCTCAGTCCTTTCTGGGAGGGCAGGAGCCGAGCGGGCGCTGAGACAGGCCTTGGGGGTGCGGGACCACGCTCCGGGAGAGGGGAGGGAGGAGGTGGGAATGGTGGGACCCGGGCTTGCGGCGTGGGGAGGCAGAAGGTGAGTAGGTGGGAAAGTGGGGAGCCAGGACCCGTCCCGGGGAGGTGGGAGGGTGAAATGGGGACCACAGGCTCAGCGCGGGGACTGGCTGAGGGTAGAGATGGTTTTCGAGGCTCCCGGTACAATGGGTGGCCTCTGGGACTAAGGCCGGTGCTGCTGAGCTCTGCTCTCTCACAGATGGAGATGGACGATGGGAAAGGAGGCACAGGGCTCCGGCAGTACTACCTGTCCAAGATCGAGGAGCTACAGGTGAGCCGGTCCTGGCTGCGCAGGAGATGCACGGCCAGCCTCCCCCAGCATGGCATCGCTGTGGTTCCAGCTGGGGCCGTGGGGCTGTGTCCCTGTGTGTGTGCTTGCCTTGAAAGTATCTACAGCCTCTTCTGTTCTGGGGTGCGAGGGGGAAGCAGTGCCCCAGGGTAGGATCTACAAGTAGGACCCAACCCTTGGGTGGTGGGGATTTGTGATAAGAGTCTCCTGTGAGTTGACAGCTCTGCCCTGTGTGTGTGTGAAGTGTTGCCCAGCCCTTGGCAGTGGGGTTTGGCCGGCCATGTCCTGCTGGGAAGGGCTGTCCCCCCCCAGGTCCTTGTCCCAAGACAAAGGCTGATGTGCTGGCCCCCAGGCTCAGTTGATGTGGGTCTCCATGGGACGCTGAGGACTCAGTGAAGCTCTTCTCCCCACAGCTCATCGTGAACGAGAAGAGCCAGAACTTGCGGCGCCTGCAAGCGCAGAGAAATGAGTTGAACGCTAAAGGTACGGCTCATCTCCTCTCCTCTTCCTCACCCAGGGGCTCTGGGCTGGTCCTACCAGCACTGGCTGACTGGAAGGTCCCAAAGAGTTGTGCTCAATGGATGTACGTCCAGCTGGCGCCCGGTCACAAGTGGTGTGCCTCAAGGCTCAGTGTTGGGACCATTTCTGTTTAACGTCTTTATTGATGATCTCGCTAAGGACATAAGGTGTAACATCAGCAAGTTTGCAGATGACACCAAGTTAAGCAGGAGTGTTGACTCCCAGGAGGAGAGGGAAGCTTTGCAAGAGGATCTAGATAGATTGGATCACTGGGCCAATGCCAATGGGATGAGTTTCAACAAGGGCAAGTGCAAGGTCCTGCACTTGGGCCACACCAACCCCCTGCAGCGCTACAGGCTGGGGGAAGTGTGGCTGGAGCTGCCTGGAGGAAAGAGACCTGGGGGTTCTAGTTGCCAAAGGGCTGAATATGAGCCGGCGTGTGCCCAGGGGGGCAAGAAAGCCAATGGCATCCTGGCTTGTATCAAAAATAGTGTGACCAGCAGGAGTAGGGAGGTGATTGTGCCCCTGTACTCAGCACTGGGGAGGCCACACCTGGAGTGTTGTGTCCAGTTTTGGGCACCTCAATCCAAGAGAGATCTGGAGGTGCTGGAGCGAGTGCAGAGGAGGGCAACGGAGCTGGTGAGGGGGCTGGAAAACAAATCGTATGAGGAGCGGCTGAGGGAGTTGGGGCTGTTTAGTGTGAGGAAGAGGAGGCTGAGGGGAGACCTCATCACTCTCTACAACTACGTGAAAGGACACTGTAGAGAGGTTGGTGCTGGTCTCTTCTCCCAGGTAATTAGTGACAGAACGAGAGGGAACGGCTTCAAGCTCCAACAGGGGAGGTTTAGATTGAACATTAGGAAGGAATTTTTCACCGAAAGAGTGGTCGGGCATTGGAACAGGCTGCCCAGGGAGGGGGTGGAGTCCCCATCCCTGGCTGTGTTTAAGGGCCGTTTAGATGCAGTGCTGAGGGACATGGTGTAGGGGAGGACTTTGTAGAGTAGGGGAGATGGTTGGACTCGATGATCCCAAGGGTCTCTTCCAACCTAGATGATTCTATGATTCCTCGCCCAGGGGCTCTGGGCTGGTCCTACCTGCTGGGCTGGTGGCTCCTGGCCCAGTTGCTGGTCACTGTGGCAAGTGCTGCCTTTCTGTTGTGGGTGAGGGCACGGGTGCCTGTGGCTGGTGCTGATGTTTCCCTCTCTGCAGTGCGTCTGCTGCGGGAGGAGCTGCAGCTGCTGCAGGAGCAGGGCTCCTACGTGGGAGAAGTGGTGAGAGCCATGGACAAGAAGAAAGTGCTCGTCAAGGTAAGAGGCTGAGCTGTTTCTGAGGTCAACTGGGGCAGAGCAGGGTGGGATTGGAGACCCTCCTTTTGACCCCAAGGGGGTTGGAGCAAGCGGGGGCACAAGCTTTGAGGGGATGGAATAACTCAGAGAGGTGAAGTGAGAGTTGTTTCTCCAGAGGAGCACCTTGCAGCAGCTCTTCCAGGCCCAAAATTTCACAAGGCTGGTGGGAGGCAGCTGGCTTAGGGCTTCCTGGGGACAGGAGGGGCTGTAGGTCCTTCCTCCTGCTCCAAGCAGCCGGTGTCAATACTGGTCACACAACAGGGGACTTCTCAGAGAAATAACTCTTGACGGTGGCAACTGCTGCCTTTCAGGTCCACCCGGAGGGGAAGTTTGTGGTGGACGTGGACAAGAACATCGACATTAATGACGTGAGTGTCCCAGGGATGTGACAGCTCCCTCGGGGCAGCCCTGGTGCTGCCTGTCCCCTCTGCTGCCGTGGGGATGCTGAGCTCCTCTCGCTGCAGGTGACCCCCAACTGCCGCGTGGCCCTGCGCAACGACAGCTACACGCTGCACAAGATCCTGCCCAACAAAGTGGACCCCCTGGTGTCCCTCATGATGGTGGAGAAGGTTCCGGATTCCACTTACGAGATGATCGGGGGCTTGGACAAGCAGATAAAGGAGATCAAGGAAGTGATCGAGCTGCCGGTCAAGCACCCTGAGCTTTTCGAGGCGCTGGGGATCGCCCAGCCCAAGGCAAGTGTTGCTGATGTGGGTCTGGGGGGGGTGTCAGCATTCAGGGGTGCTGTGGTGCTGCCTGTGCTACCTCTGGGAGTGTCCCCGTGTCTCCTGCCGGGGTGGGGCTGCCCGTGCGGGCAGGGACAGGGGGTGCTGAGGTCTCCCTGTGGCCGTTGCAGGGCGTGTTGCTCTACGGACCCCCCGGTACAGGCAAGACCTTGCTGGCCAGGGCTGTGGCCCATCACACCGACTGCACCTTCATCCGTGTCTCGGGCTCTGAGCTGGTGCAGAAGTTCATCGGGGAAGGTAAAATGGCTCAGGGAGACTTGGGTGGTTGTGCAGGAGCCCCAGTGAGGGCTTTTGAGGTGCTGGGTGGCCTCCTGTGCCAGGGCTCAGCCCTCCCTCTCCCCCCAGGTGCCCGCATGGTGCGGGAGCTGTTTGTGATGGCCAGGGAACACGCTCCCTCCATCATCTTCATGGATGAGATCGACTCCATCGGCTCCTCCCGCCTGGAGGGGGGCTCCGGGGGGGACAGCGAGGTGCAACGCACCATGTTGGAGCTCCTCAACCAGCTCGATGGCTTTGAGGCCACCAAGAACATCAAGGTAGGAGGGGTGACATCCCAGCCTGGGGGGACGGGGCAGCGTCCTGGTGGCAGTGGGGTGCCTGGAGTGGTGACAGTTTTCTCCTCGTGCAGGTGATCATGGCAACCAACCGCATTGACATCCTGGACTCGGCTCTGCTGCGCCCCGGCCGCATCGACAGGAAGATTGAGTTCCCCCCTCCCAACGAGGAGGTGTGTGTTATGGATTGGAGTCAAATCCTGTTGGTGGCCGGTCACGAGTGGTGTCCCACAGGGACCTGTTCTCTTTATCATCTTTATCAATGATCTGGACAAGGGGATTGAGTGTACCCTCAGTCAGTTCTCAGATGACACCAAGCTGGGTGGCAGCGTCGACCTGCTGGAGGGTAGAGAGGCTCTGCAGAGGGATCTGGACAGGCTGGATGGATGGGCTGAGACCAACGGGATGAGGTTCAACAAGGCCAAGTGCTGGGTCCTGCACTTGGGTCACAACAACCCCCTGCAGCGCTACAGACCTGGGGCAGAGTGGCTGGAGCTGCCTGGCAGAAAAGGACCTGGGGGTGTTGGTGGCCTGTGGGCTGAACAGGAGCCAGCAGTGTGCCCAGGTGGCCAAGAAGGCCACCAGCATCCTGGCCTGTGTCAGGAACAGCGTGGGGAGTAGGGCCCGAGAGGTGATCGTCCCCCTGTGCTGGGCACTGGTGAGGCCTCACCTGGAGTGCTGTGTCCAGTTTGGGCTTCTCACCACAAAAAAGAAGGAAAAATTTCTTCATGGAAAGGGTTATCCAGCATCGGAATGGGCTGCCCAGGGAAGTGGTTGAGGCACCATCCCTGCAGGTGTTCAAAAGACAGGTTGACATGGTCCTCAGGAATATGGTTTAGTGATTTTTATTGCTTATTTCTTATTTATTTTTTGTCAGAGTTAGGTTGATGGTTGGACTAGATGATCGTTAAGGTCCCTTCCAACCTCGATGATTCTATGTGGGGTGCCCTGCGGTGGGGCCCTGGCTCTCCCTTGATCCCTCCCTGCCCTGATCCTCTCCGTGGGGGGAGCGCGTTGTCCCCAAGCCCTCTCTGGAAGCCATTCCTGTGTCTCCCAACCCTCTTGCTCTCCCCCAGGCCCGTCTGGACATCCTGAAGATCCACTCCCGCAAAATGAACCTGACGCGGGGCATCAACCTGCGGAAAATCGCGGAGCTGATGCCGGGGGCCTCGGGGGCGGAGGTGAAGGTGAGATTGGGGGGGGGGGCTTTGATGGGGGGGT